TCAGTTGATCGAAGATGGTAATTAGAAATTGGGTTAATTGAGGACCAAAATTACGGTTTAAGGAAACTAGGTTTGGGGCTAAATATAAATTTAAAGTAATTTTTTAAAGACACTAGGAATCCCTAATATTTGCTCAGCAAAATGTACTATCAAATAAAATAAAAAAGAAGCAAATAAATTAAGGAGGAATTCAAAAATTAGTTTTTTCCTCTAACATTTTATAATAACCAGTTATGAGGAATAACTTGCCAAAATATCAGGAAATTCCATTCAATATAGATTAGCCATGACACTCTTAAGTGCAGTGCAACACTAAACTGACATGTTCCTTTAATGCCACAATAGCATGTCATGTTTTACAAAAGTTGTCAGTTAATATCTTGTGAACAGTGTACAAACAAGGTGACCATCCATGTGACCTTTACAAAATAGTACATCTTCAAAGAATGATTCAGGATTCACAATTTTAGGTTTCATAAATCTTTTTTTCTGAATTCCACCCCATAAATGAATTCTGTAACATTCTTTACAATAATGGAATAACCCTAGGTTGTGCACCCTTACCTACATACCTATCCACCCTGAATAAAATGGTTTGCTCACCATACCACAGACCAAGAAAATGACTTGTTATTCATACTGCATGTCTTTAGAAATGCATCACTGAAACCATTATGGTCTCAGTAAAATAAACCCCCCAAAAAAATTAATTAATACATGGAGTTATACGTCTATGGTCAACTAATTCAAGTACTGCGGCAGATTTATGAATGTGGATCACAAGTCGTGTTATATTTATTTTTTCAGTGAAAAGTTTATTTAGTAAAAAAAGTCATATTTGGTTTAGTGAGTCAATGTAAACTAAACAGAGTGTACTAAAGGAAGCACTGGTACATGCTGCCTTCTGTGTGATTATAGTCCTAGGTGCTGTGTTTTACAACCAAACATTCATATTTTTTGACATCTAGATGGACTGTGAGTTACAGAAAGTCTGTACATATTCTTAATGTTTTTTATTTTAGTATTTTTTCTGCTGTCCCTATATAATGATGATATGAAATTGTAAATCTATCATATAAAAATGACTTTCTGATCATTTGACTTGTCTATTTCTCAATTTTTGCAGGTATCTTTAATACACACTGGGTTTGTTTCCCTGATCAACTAGAATTATACTGGTGTAAATTTGTAAAAAGTCCATAGATCTAATGTAAGTGATGTATTACCATGGTAACAGAAGACAACTAAATAGGAGCTTAAAAACTTAATTTCTGAAAATATATAGATCAATGTCACCTTGGTGTAAATACTGTGATAGCCAATGAAATCACAGATACTCAGTGTACAGACCCTGTGATAGCCAATGAAATCACAGATACTCAGTGTACAGACCCTGTGATAGCCAATAAAAAAAAAGTTTGAAAAAGCAAAATATAGTACACTTTGATATGTAGGGCACCATCAGAGCAATGCTTCTAACTATGACACACCCAGAATAATTCAATATTAATTAATACTTTAGGATCAAAACTGAGAGATCATTTGCTACATTGGATATTGGTACAGAACAGGACATACAGCTGACAACAGGTGGTCATACAATTACTACAGAAGCTGAGACATTGCCAGTATAGTACAACTTTAATACTAGTAACATATTTACTCTATTAGAAGTACAACTTCAATACTAGTATCATATTTACTCTATTAGAAGTACACCTTCAGTACTACAGTGTTCTCCCCAGGATGTAAACAGCGTGGCGGTACCGCCACAGTGCTTCGATTTGCCGCCACACCGGTCTGACACCGTCACGGTGATTAGCAAGACCGCCACAGTGCTTTTTTTCATTTGGGGATTTCGTCACGCTGGTCGGCCTGACCGGCACTCAAAATTAGCGACCACCACGGAAACGCTTCCGACTATTGTCATATTGTTATTCTACTTACGTACCGATCGACACGCATCCTGCCAGTCGTGGATAATAATTTGTAAACAATAGACACAGTCGCGTGATGTGGTAGCGGCTTTGAACAATACAAGTCAATTTTGTAAAATTAGCATCTCTTTGTTTGTAAGTAAATACTTTCTAACGATAGACGCAGTCTTTAGATTGAAAGCTAAAATTCTTTCAAAATCAATTCCACCCGATATAACATGGGCAAATCGAAGTTCACGATCAGTTTACGCTACTCAAGAAAAAAAACGTGTTTATTGCGTTATTGGGTAAAATACATTTGAACTGTTATCATCGTGAATTATGTAAAAACACTTCTTTCAATACTTTTTTTACCTTTTAAAAATTT